TGCAACACGTATGGCTTCGGCGCCTAAATTGAAATTAGCATATATTATCATATAAGACTAGAGTTCAACTAGAGAACAGCTCTCAGGTGCATATAAAGGGCTGGTCTAACCATCATTGCCGATACTATGAATATTGATCAACGTACAGATCCACACAGGGTTTCTATAAAAACATAATCACCAACGACCATACCGTCCTCCGCCGCTTCACTCTCCACCAACCAGCGGTCGTTCTCCTTCTCCAAATCAGTTGCAATGCTCCTCAAATTACTAAGTATTGTACTGACAGTAGCGCCAGCCCCTACGCACGCAGTCATATGTGGGTACAATGCTGCCACCCGATCAATGTATGACCCATTATCAACACCACTTGTACCATCGCTCGAATCTCTACTATTCTCGCTTGCCAAGACCTGGTCTATCAGTGCTTGGGGTAGTGTAAAGTCAGCCTGGGACGGTGTAGGTGAGTGCGGGGTCAAACTCGCGTCTTCGATAATAACCCCAGGCACAACAGGGATTTGGGGCGCTGTAGACTCCCTACTATCTGCAGGCTGCACAATAATTACCGGTGCGTTTGCTGCCCCAGTATTTGCATCTGTAGTCGAAGGAGAAAAAGCACTAGCATCGCTTGCTGTACGTGTGGCACCGTTGTCAGAAGCTATATTCCTGTGTCTGCCCTCCCGCATGCTTGAAGATGTGGGAATAAGAATATCAGCAAACGAGATCACAGGCACGCCATCTGCCAATGAATTCTCACCCTCTGGGTCTATACCTGTAGTGGGTGCTTCAGAGTCTCTTAGATCCATGTGTTCTGTGCCATCGTTATCTACAGGGTGTGTGTTTACAGCATGTACTTGCCGCTCCGCGTCGGCGATATCATCACCATCGTCTGTGTGCTCCTCCATGCTGCATCCAACAAATATATATATAAATCAGTACTAAGGTCCTAAAGTGAGCGGTGCGACGCTGATAATGTGTGTATTCGTGCGTCTAATATAACCTTTCACGCTATTATAAGCCTCTCAGTGCGCTTTAGATATGTAGATATGTAATTTTTAGTGTGTCTCGTCCCCGTATGCGAATGTAGTATGTGCGTGATTTCTCCCTCCACACTGCTAACCTACTGTTGTGAACTTGATTACGTGCACATGCTAATATAAATGTATCATACGCTCCACAATCATTACTGATCGCGCTCAAATAGTGTAATATCACCTAATCGCTCTATAATTGGAATCATAGGGTCAAGGGCACTTTATCTACAATTCCATTGGCTAACTTAAGAATACTTTTTCAGACGTCCAATAGAATTCTTCTCAGTCGATATATTCGGCCAAATACATGTCGCTCAAATGGACCCGCCAAATCGCTCTTACGTTTTCATGCCGTAATTACTCAGCAGATGCATATTTACAAATTGTCATACAATACAATACATAAATCAATCACATACACCTCGGATTTTACTTCATAAACTTCCAAAAAAAAATTTAAAGGACATACTATCTCTGGTAAATACAATCCACACAGCAAATTTGCGCAGCAGATGTGAGGTGACCACGCGTCGCACTACACACTGCCCTTCGCAATATTGCTGATTGGTGGCACGCAAGTACTTAGCACTGAACTTCGCCGACATTAAAACACGATGCACATACTTGCACACGAGCATTCATAGTCGGATAGCGTTATTGGATAATACAGGCAGATATCATGAAGCCTAAATGTGTATACTATTCGTTGGCTTCGTTGATATCGCGGGTTCCTCGGCGGTGCGTAGTTTCTGTTGCAAAGGTAATTATTGCGCCGTTACACGGGGCCCTTATAATATGCACGTCGTCATACGCACGCAAGACAAAGGTAAATGTTTACACATCTCTGTTCACGTGGAATTATATGTTTATTTGTTCTCATAAACCTTGCTTGATCGAACTACAGATATGTGGATAACGCAACTGAACCTGATACGCTTATTGGGGAGACAACGTATTGCATGAAGTTGTACAATACAAGCATATCGTAGCAGCTACACCCCCCACCACACACACATCGTGCTCATATACCATAACTGCATTTGCTTACAATTTACTAACATATCGGTGAGGAGAATGCTATATCGTGATACCTATAACTTGAGACTTGGTCGGTGTTGCGACCTGTATGACCAATTCATATAGTTGATGATGATAATATATATATATATGTGTGTGTGTGTGTGTGTGTGTGTCTGTGTCTGTGTCTGTGTGTCTGTGTGTGTGTGTGTGTGTGTGTGTGTTTCTCACTGTGTGCGTGTGTGTGTGTTTCTGTTTTTATGTGTTTGTGTGTATGTGTGTGTATATGTATTTATATATGTAAGTAAATATCATA